CTAAAACTTCAGTTCCATACTGCTAGCAAATGCAACTTAGAGCATTTTCATGGTCTCTCAATGACACAAGCTGAGTTCCAGGGCCTTTAAAATCTCACACTGATCTTTACGTCAAATGATATTTCACAGAAGGTAAGCTAACAACTGATTTGAGGATTTCTATTCACATTGCCCATATGCATTAACTACATTAAAGTATCCCAAATATGATTTTCTTATCAAGCGCTTTAGTGGTAAAAGGTCAAGTGGTCAATCCCAACACAGGGACCCAAGACTTTTTTTTTTTTGTGCCGTTCAGATGACCGGTCTCGTTCTTTGCCAGTGCAGCAGCATGATTTTCTCTCACAAGCACATGCTCTCCGTTATGAGATACCCGGCAATTTCGAATGAAGGACAAGAAAATTCTTCAGGAAACATTACTTAAGACCACTCTTGCGCATTCAGGGCCTGGACTCTGTGTGCCCACAAAACAGAACTGATTGCACAAGAGCCGAAGTTAGGCTCTTTAATAACCCTTGACAATGCAAATAATTCTCTGTCACAAGCATCTGCAGTTGTTGCAAAAGCGATTATGTGCCTGCTTGTCTTAATACCGTCATGTGTGTCTGTTATGTTGTCTGTCTCCGATGCATCATGTTGCCTGCCATGGTTTATCCTCATTACCCTGAGGTACGGATGTTTGGAAAAGACGCTAAACACACCATCCTTTGTTTGAGCAAGAGCCTCCTTCCATGAAAGGGTTAGAAATAACTGTTTGAATCGTACAAACCTTTAGCAAATATTGTTTTCTATCACAAGCTTCAAACGAGGAAAGATAGAGTTTCACTTAAGCAAAACAATCCTAATTGGGGAAAAATTTAAATCATTTGGAGGTTTTTATTTCTGTCTCCCTTTTTAGAAAATAAAATAGCAAGAACCTTGTGCTTCAGAACAGAAAAGAATCAGTGACCTAATTAAAGGAGGACGGATAGGCCCTCCAAGCAGAATTCTCGTTTGAGCCTATTGCACATGGTATTGTTTCAGGAACATCAAAGCATCAGTAATCCATGGGTGTCTTACTGTACGTGACCCAACATTGTCTCAGACAACACTGCATTCATAGCGCGATGTCTCACCAACATCATGGCTCTTCAGAGGCTTCCTGAACCTGTCGCCATGTTTTTTCTTTTTTTCTTTTTTTAATAAAGGTCACCTGTAGCTGGTGCACATTTGGACTGAAAGGAAAATAGGAAGCTTGATCACACAACTCTTTGAAAAATAATTCATAAGTCAGAAATATGTGACGAATAGGTGCTGTCTTTAGTATCTGGGTTTTTCATATTTTCAAACCAAATCCTCCTTTCTTTTTCCAAGGTCCACTTCAGCGCACAAAAGAATGCAGTGATGACTAATTATTTATATTCACCTCAATAATAGAGGGGAAAAAATATTCTTTGAGACATAGCCCTGATTTTTTTTTTTTTACCATAACAGATGTGGCCAAAATGGCAGCGAGGCAAAGCTATAATTTCTCCAGCAAAGACAATAGAGTTTACTGCCTACACAAAACATTCCCCACCTGCTCAATGGATTCCTTGGAGACACCTTTCTTAGCCGCCGCACTGAGCCAACAGATTGTCAACCAGTCCAAACTACGTGGCGCTGAATACTGAGATCCACACAAAGAGTTTGCACAGAGCGTTTGTTGCTGAGAGCCATTTGGATATGGAGGGTACAGTGATTCGAACAGGCCGGCCTAAAGCCACCCAGGCAGACGCTGACAGCTGGGTGGCAATTGGAGTGGGCTTCAATTTGCCAGAATTCTGCAATTATTTTTGAGGCAGACCGCTGTTTGGATATAATCAATTTGGCTTTGGCTATAGGCTGACAAAAAAAAA